AGGCAAATAAGAAAAAGGTAACGGTTCGCTATGAGAGAACATGTCGCCGCTGGTTAGCTTGGATGCTAACGGCTAGCGTCCTGACCTTCCTCTGGGGGTCCAGCAGCATGGGGAAGGGGCAGCTGGTCTGGTCCAGCCACAGCCGGGCGCCCTCCGGCCCCCCGAAGGAGACCACCAGCACCCGCACCGCCCGGGCCTCCAGGAGCACCTGGGGGGGGGGGGGGGGGGGGGGGGGGGGGGGGGGGGGCACAGTCAAGGCCTTTTTCTTAGTTGTCTTAATTTCCCCCCCTTTACTTGGTTTTGTTTTTTCTTATTTTCATTGGTTCCTGGTTGGTCGGACAGGTGTTGTGAATGAAAAGGTGCCCAGCTTGAAAGAGCTCCTATGAGATAGATAGATAGATAGATAGATAGATAGATAGATAGATAGATAGATAGATAGATAGATAGATAGATAGATAGATAGATAGATAGATAGATAGATAGATAGATAGATAGATAGATAGATAGATAGATAGATAGATAGAGCTCCTATGGCTGAATGTGAGCGTTCTGCCTCCATTTATTTGTTTATTACAGTCTGTTGGATTCATGTTAATCTCGATTTAAAGACATTTAACCCTGTAATGCCAAATGTATCATATTTGATTCATACGGTTTCTGAAATGTTTTGCGTCTGACACCTTTTGCATCATTTAATGGTAAAAACTTTGCTCAAAATCCTATTGTACACAATCAGATACACCTGATAACAGGGGGAAGAAGACTACACAAAAATAATCTTGACTTATCGCATAGTAATAAATTTTTTTTGCTCTTACTGTTTTTTCATCTTTGAGTTTTTCTTGTGTTGTGGTGATCATTTGTGTTTTATGATCTGCTCAAATGGCCTGTACAGCGCTTTGATTTTAGCTTTGGCTGACTGAAAGCGCTTTATAAATAAAGTTGAGTTGAGTTGAGTTGAGTTGAGTTGAGTTGAGAGCCGAAAGGTAGCGCGAGGTCACATGACAGCACCTCACTGAGCCCTCACCTGATTGGCCGCCAGCTCGGCCACATGGTCTCGTCAGGGCAGTCATCCAAAATGGCGGATGAGGACCAGCAGCAGCTTCTGACCCGGACAAAGAAACTCCCCCAGGGTGGTGCTCCTTCAAGACACAACAACATAATCACACAATAAAACAAAAAACACAACAATACGATAACACAATAAAACAACAACCCAATAAAATGACAACACAATAAAACAACAAAACAATAACACAATAAAACAACAACACAATGAAACAACAACACAATAACACAACAACACAATAACACAACAACACAATAACACAACAACAGCACTGTTAACGTTTGTTCTCTTTCACTGCAACGGACACATTTTCATTATTACTCCCGTTGGCAGGTTACAACTCAGAAACCAGGTGGTGTCACACTCAAAAATGTCTAAACAAAGGTTCCCAACAATAGTTCCTATTGTTACAAGCACGGCCTGCTTTGTGGAGGCCGAGGCTCCGGGCGAGCAGCAGACTCCTCCCACATCCAAGTCGGCCATTTTGATTAGGTCATGTGACTAGGAGCTTCCTGAGGTTGAAACTAAACTTTACTGTCTATACGAAATCAGA